GTGTGTGTGTGTGTGTGTGTATACACAATTATCAATCCTTCAATTCCATTAAACTTTGTTAAAATACAGGCATACATCCATATAAAAGTACAATCCAATTTGGAAACTTACTCTCCCGAATGGTGGTAAGTGATAGTCGTCTGTCCGGCCTGAAGCACGGTCCTCCTTTCACACGAAGTCACCATGGTGATATGTTCACCAGTCAAGGTGGTAGCTCGATGTTGTGTATATTACTCCAATCTATCTTTCCAGCATATAGCTTGGATAGTTGTTTGTGACAGTGATAGGTAAATGATATTAGAGCTGATCGATCCTCCCAGACTCAAGCATTTGCCGTCGATGGGGTTACTTTGAATGTTACAAGGGTGTCGAACTGTGTTTAATACTTTAATGGGACATACTTTGGTAATAAAATTAAAATAAAACACTACCAATACTTTAGATACTGTCTGCCCGCTCTATCCCTGGGCTGTGAAAGGTCTTATTAAAACACGTCGCAGGAAGTGCATACAAACCAAACCAGACCAGCGCTCACAAAATAAGTCACTCGACACAGACTCTGCAGTCTGCAGCCTACGGCTAAAATAGGAGTACATGACGAGAACCCAAATCCCAACTTAGATACTAAATAGTTGTTGTCCAATAGAATCACGTTATCGATGTTTTGGCGCGGATGGATGAACATCAGTATTCAATCAAAACACCGTACAAAGCGCGCCCATTTGATTTTAGCTCCCAATATATTTCTAAAAATAGATTATTGTGTTCTGGATCTAGTAGGGTTTAGGTATTTAGGGGTTATCTCAACCGGGTTCAGAGAGGTACTGCTACGAGTATCGAATAGTATTTAAATATATATTTAGTACACTCACAGGTCACCGGCTTCCTATCCAGTCTGAACACACACTCCAATCGCCCAAAGAATAAGACAGACACAGACAGACAGCTGTCTATTATAGGGATACATAGATAGTATGGAAACCATTGAGAGGACAATAGCAGATGCGATCGCAGATGCAGCTCTGGACACGTACGATCGGAGATGTCCGAAGCGAAAGAAGCTGGAGACGGGCGTGGAATGGGGGGTGCTGGCAGCAGTTGTTTGCACTCGCACGGAAGACTCGGGTGTGTGTGTTGGGTGATTTATTTTGTGTGTGTGTGTTATTATCCACATGCGCCGAGGTGTGTGCTTTGTCGGTTGTCTGCGTGGAGTGTCGATAAATTTGCTTTAGAGAGGATGTGCAGGCGTTCACGACTGAGTCGGACCATTTGTTGTTGTGTTGGGAGTAGTATGCAATATCCTGTCCTTTTTCTGAATGTGCAATTCGCATAGAGGACATTACAGCGTGTGTGGTAAACATTACAGCGTGTGTGGGTAACCGTACTGTGGGCTATTGACTTTGAACTCCCATTGTCGCAGTGTGTTGTATTGGTCTGATCTTGAGGTGTAGGGCAAACCTTAATACCTCACAGTATAAGTTACCGCTTCGATCTCAGACTACTGTATAGGCTGGAGGCTGTTTGCTGGCTTCACCGCAATAATCAGAAGCTTTGCTTTTGCAACAGTGTTTCTGAATTGCCCGATCTATAACTTCAGCCTCAGGCAATCTAGCAATAAATACATGCACACACACATATATATATATACATACGTAATTACGTGTGGAAATATGGGTCCGTACTTTGTTATTGGTATTGCCATGGGTTTTTACACATGTGTGGGTTTATAAGACGACTTGTGTACGTGTGACGTGCATGGTATACTCATTGCTAGCCATCTGGGTTGAATCATCGAGTGGATAGAAGTTCTGAAGGCTTAACGGAGGAGGGGTGGTGGGGGGGTCTGGACCTTACTAGAAAATAGCAAAGTACACACACAAGCACGTGAAATAATCCAT